ACTCCCTACCTTTTTACCTAATCCTAATCTTCCTTCCTCCCTCCCAAACCTAAACCCCAAAACCCTCTCCTACTGTAAGAAATTAAAATCAAATGTTGATATGACGTAATTTAAATTAATACAGGGTTTTAATTTAAAGCAGTTTTATTATGAAACACACCGGAAGTTCACACTAACTATTAACTTAAAGGGGACCTATCATGCAAAATGCACTTTTGTATGTCTTTTAATACATGAATATGTGTCCCCGGGTGTTTCCAGGGAACTCACCAAGTGTCAGAAACACAACCCTCTCTATTTTCCTCCATACCCAAATCTCTAAAAAAGGGGGCTGCAAACGGATCTGATAAAAACTGATCCAGATTTGAACACTGTCCTGACGTCAGGACAGTGGCGCTACGGCTATTGGGCCAACTCCACCAATCAGGAGGAGACAGCCACGGCCATTGCCGTTCGAAAGCGCTGGAGACGCTGTAGTACATATGCCAGGCCTGTAGATGGTGCTGTTCTCACAGAATCAGCCCTTGCAAAAACAGAGCTAACATTTTTCAAATTGAGCGAAATGAGGCATGGCTAAAATGCGATGATCTGTTTGGTATTTTGAAAAAAAAAGTAATCAAATATGCCTTATATAGGTATGGTCCTACACTATATTATTCAAATATAGCATGATAGGTCCACTTTAACACTTTATCTAAAAGGTCTTGCATTTCCGGTTAGCATTAGCATGTGGCTAATGTTGTGAAAACCGTGAATTGAAGGTGAAATGACATGTGATGTTGTACACTAAACACACTGGGATTACACTCATTTATTGACGCTGAAATAACGTTTTATCAGGGAATGTTTAAATAGCCAACAGACATCAGAATTATATATATTAATAATATAAGATATAATATGTTACTTTTGTGACTGGGTAAGTACACAACACGGGAGTCGGGGACGTCACGTGCCTCAAAGGTTGACGCTCCCGCCCACATTGAAGCTGATTGAGGCATTGCGGCACTGCATTGAGGGGTACTACTTCAAACCCACCTCCCCTGAACATGGGTCGACTGTAGAGTCTCGTCATGCCTGCCTACAAGAAGTAGCGCTGAGCAAAGTGACTAGAAGGCAACTACACACTTATAAAAAAAAAACACACTTTATAAAGTCAGGCAACACTAACCAGGCTTTCGTGTGATTCTGTTTATTGTACCTTACTTTGACCATCCGTTCGCTGTTATTGATCATTGTGGAGAGCAGGCAGACGTTTTGTTTTGTATTGTAGCAGCTATCGGATGGAATCAATACATGGGCTGCACAGGTTGTCATGTCCGACTATCACAAGTAGAATCATAATGAAAAATACGCCGGTAAAATGTGCCTGTAAAAAACGGCTTAGCAAGTAGTCAGTTTAGCTTCGGTTGCTATGCTAACATCACCCATGTTATACCAGAGAAACTGTCATACAGCGTTGTGATGCCAAACAGCGTCAATTCAAGACTGACACACATTCACTTAAGGGGAACTGGGGATATGTATCAGCTGCTTGTGTGACAGTCAGACAGTGAATACTTTAGAGCCGTGTGAGCTAACACGGAGCTAACGGGAGAATAAACTCCTGTGGAAGAGCAGCCAGCACTGCAGCGGTCGGTAAATGCCGCTGAAACACATTAATAAACAATGAACCACGGCACTCTGGAGAAAAGTATAAGGTTGGAGAAGTCGTTATTTAATTTAATCTGGCTTCGTATGATTAAAAGCAACACGATCATCGACCCAACGCAGTCCCCCGTTGTTGTTGTTGTTGTGAGCTCCGTTGGGGAGCAAATCAGCGATGTAAACGGTGACGTCATGACGCAGCAGCGGCAGCACCATCCCGGCTCTGAGTGGTGTGAACAGAGCGGGAGCAGAAAAGGGAAACCGGAGCTGAACCAGAAAAGCTCCAGCTCGGAGCTAGAAAGGGAAAAGCGCTGGTGTGAAAGCCGCATCAGTTGCTGATGTGGAGCCACTGCCAGGTCTTGGAAGAATTGCAGCCAACAACTCTGCAAGAGAGGCCATCAGAGTTCGGGAGGTCTTCACATCATACTTCAATGCAGAGGGAACGGTCCCATGGCAAGACAACGTGTAATGCAACAGCACACATTAAAAGGCTCTTTTAAGAGCCACCCACACTATATACTATTGAGCAACCTCCTGCAACATTTCTATCCCAACACCAGATTTAGGTCACCAATTCATATAATTATTTCTGTTAAATCCATGAATTATTGTTTTGTGAGGTAGTGCCACATTCTGCTTTTTAAATGACTTCATGATTTTAGGCAAAGCATATATAGAAGTCAATTTTGACTTTAAATTTAATAGAATTATGAAAATATGCAGTCTGTTATTGTGACGACCCCTCCACACCATGATGGGTGCTGTCGGCTCTGTGTGTGTGTGATTACAGGATCCAGTGCTGTGGGGCCGGCATTTGTCTGATGAGCT